CCTCCCAAAGTACTGCTAAACCAGCCAAAACGAAACCTCAGAAAAAAATCCTGAATTTTGACATCATCAATATCAAAGAGTACCAAGAAGAGTCCACATTGGCAGAGGGAATCCAGAAGAACATATTTGAACCGCACATCACGGAGCACAAGACCTTTAAACCCGAAGATCCCGCCTACGCACGGTTTGTGAAAACCCCCTTCGTCCGGCCACCACCCTGCACCTACCTGGACGAATCGGTGCTCTCAATGCGGAAGAGGAGATCCGGCGATCAGCTGCCTGTTAAAAAATTTAGGCGCAAGAAGAAAGAACTCTCTTCAGAAACGGGAAAAGAGGAGAAAGCAGCGGAGAAGGTCCGACATCGCTGTAGCAAGTGCCTGTCCTCCTTCAGCACATTGGAGGAACTGAAGGCGCATGAAGCTCGGAACACCTGCTCCTCCTTGTTTGGATTCGATTCAGATGATGAAACTTAAGCCCCATTTACAATACCCTTTAGAAACCGTGGAGAGAACGGTCCAAGCATGGTAACCCAGATAACTGTAAATGGAAAGCAACTGATCTGAATCGTTACAGATACTACCGAATGGCGCTAAATCTAGTTCTAGTTTAAAAGTAAGGCTCGCTGCGGTTCATCTGTGGCTCGGTTCTCTGATAACAAAGAGCGCATGAGCAGACCGCGTCATCTCCTATTTACAGTCAACTGACCCATTTTGAAGATCTCTTCACCTATTCACTAGTCTCGTGAGACCATCCTGATCTCGCGAGCGTTCAAGGTTTCACTCGCAGATCAGTGGCTACTTTCCGTTAAAGAAAATTTGGAGCCGTTCACCAAACGAACGTCCAATCAGCGTTGGCTTTGAGGCGGGTTGAGGTGTGACGCAACGAGAAGCGCGACAGTTCAGTCTAAAGAACATGGCGGCTTCAGTCGATGAAACTAGCGTTAGCGTGGTTATCAAGCAAGTTTTATCGGAATTAGTATTTCTTCACTGAAAGAAGAGCAAAACACTGCTCTGGAGGCTTTTCTCAGAGGAAAAGATGTTTTTTCTCTTCTCCCGACTGGTTTCGGCAAGAGTTTGATCTATCAATTGGCTCCTCTTCGTCATCGCTCTGTTAGTATGTCATATGCTTTGTTGATCTGATTGGTTTATTTGGCCCGTCTATCACCAACATAGGCCAATCAGCTAACCAGTATTTTCGCCCCTTCCCAAAATTACTGGGCACTGCCATTTTTGTTCGCGTATTTCCCGCCTTTAGAGCTGTAGTATCGTGGACCTGCGATACGACATGAGGAGCCGTGCTACCGTGATTTGTAAAAATGGTTCGTAAGAACCAAGCTCTGCACGGTTAACTGATCCAAGCTCGGGCCGAACTCGGCACGGATTGGGTTCACAGGGGTTGCGTAAATGGGGCATTAGTGTGAACGGTCCACTGATCGTATTACGGGACATAACCTCCAACCTACAGGTTGTTTGTGATATCTGCGCGGATGGGCTGTGGATTAATTCGATTTACCTCATCTCATAGTAGCATTTCAGCACCAAAATGTTTGATCATTTTTAAGACTAAATCAAGCAATAATTTTAGATTTGCACAATTCTGTTTTATTTCATATGAATTAAATAACAGGCTTAGTTTTAGTCCAAGTTGAAAGGATTAATTGTGTTTACAATTATGAACATAAGTTTTTGGTAAATTATCATTTTAAGATTTAATTTAACATTGAACTACCACAAACCTAATACTTGAGAAAGTAAAAAAAAAAAAATCTTTTTAGAGGAATATCTTTTCAAAAATACTGGGCAACTGTTAGTTTCCCAAATTACGTACCGTAATTGAATGAAAAATGTATATTTATCATAAAAATGTCTGACAACAACTGACCTAAAAATTTATTTTTCTGAACTGTCACACTCCTTCCATTCGTGGAGTTTCAGTGTCTTGATCTGGTAGTGATTAATGTTTGAAATAACAGCAACCAAACCTTTCAGTCGCTGTTTTCCTTCCTATGAGGGGCCTTTAAGCTCTCAGCCAGGCTTCCAGGTGAGGAAGGGAGACCAAATCATTCTTTCATTTTTGAGGCCTTCATTGGTTACTGGCTTTTTCCAGTAAACCTCATTAATTAATTGAATTTGAAATATAATCAGAATGTATCAGAATCTTATATTGAGTAGGCACTACATTTTGGTTACATTACATTTAATCATAGTTTGACACTAACTTTCTCCAGCCCTATAGAAGGTGGTAATATGCTTGAAGTGGGTTTTCCTCCACAGGGAAGAGAAGGCAGAGGCAGATCCATGCATGCTTCAGAAGTAAGCACTTTTCTACACAACAGTAACAGTCCTGCCACTATGGATTCTGGACTAGAACGATTTCAAGGTACTGAAAACTGCAAAACCTTGAACTGAAACATCTACATGATTGTGGTCAGGGCAGAGGAACCTCAAAATAAATAAAACTAGAAAAGCACTTGGAGAGAGGCAGAAGCAGTTAACTTGGAACTTCTAAGAGCATATGGCGGCTCACAAGCAAGTAAATAATGTAGTTTCTGACTCGATGTTTAAATAGAAAAACAATCTGAGAGCGCAGACCTCCGCTATAGATTAAACCTATAGCTAAAACTCACACATGATCTTGATCATTACCAAATTTGAATGAGTTTTTCCTTGGCATTAGCTGCACCTTTAGGGGGGAACTGCTTGTTCTGCCAAATAACGTTAAAGAATTCTTTAAAAAAAATTCCTGCATCCTGATTAATTGGATCGTCACCAAAATTGAATAGATTGCTCCTTGGACTGAGGTGCACCTTTGATAAAACAATATCTGTGCATAACCTTTCAAGATATCCTGTACTCAGATGGAAAGACAAACACACAAACTAGCCTAAAAACAACCTTGATTTAGTTAGCAATATTGGTTGAAAAGTAAACCCCCAATTAGTCCCAACAGTTGTGCAACAAATATAAATTGTAGGCTTTTCTCAGTATTTATCTGTCCCTCTTTCAGGCTAACAGGGTTGATTCCCAGCTTAGGAGCTGGTGTTGCAATTTTGATTTAAAAATTTTAAAGTATTTTATTGACCAAAACTTTATCATTGGCAAATATAGCTTCTCCAAAATATATCTGCGTATTTCCTCAAAGCAAAGCTAATACAGTTAAACGATGGCTGACGGTTGAGCTGGCTGTACTATCTTAAAAATGTTACATCATTACCTATTATACATTAAGATATGAAACTAAGATATATACATTAAGATATGAAACTTTCCCTTTCTTTATTGATTTATTTGCGGCATGCTAGGCTGTTGTTAAAAACTACACATAGAGCTGAAAAATCAGCACTGGGACTCTAGATGAAGAAAAGTTTTAACATGGTTAAAATAAGTCATGTGTAGACCTTAAGTCCTGCACTCCAGGCTTGTAAACACTCATTTTTCAACATTGTCAGTTTTGATAAATAAACTATAAACCCAAATATACACACAAACCTAAATTTTATCAGATCGATGCGCTTGCTTTTTATTTTGATAAATGAATCAAAACTGATTTTGTTAGTTTGTTAAATGAGGTTTGATTTATTTGAAGTGGCCCTTCTCTCAGAGCTGTTTTATCTCCTTGGTGCCGTGTAGATATGACAACTCTGCAAACGAAACGTCTTCCAAATAACTGTTGCATTTAGCACTGTTTCCTTACAGCAAAAGGGTCCTAGGTTTGAATCCCTCCCAGGGGATTCTGCGTGGTCCTCTCTCCAGGTATTCCAGCCTCCTTTATAGTCCAAAAACATGACCGTTAGGTTAGACGTCCTGAGGTGTGACTGTGTGCATGTCAGGTTGTTTGTCTCTCACCCTGCGACGTTGCATGGATAAGCAGGTATAGACGATGGATGGCTGGATCAATCCTCTAAAAAGTTGCCAAATACAGCAAACTTTGAGACCTACAGTGTGTCTCTCTGGTATTACATGATGGTCAGAGTTTTGTTTGCTTTTTCCCCAAGTCTTAAATCATAACAGGATTCAGTCCTGAGGTTTGTGATTTTCTAAATTAACACTTTAATTCTGTCAAGACATAATCAGTTTAACTTGAAAGTAAAGGCTCAAATCCTTAAATTGTGAACTCCACTTTGTAAAATAGATTTTTTTTTTTTGACTTTTCTGTTTAGTTTTTAAGGTGTGTATTGAATGGACTGCATTTAAATCTTATTTATATGTAAAAATGTTGATAGCTGTTTTGTAAATGTTATATTGACCCATATATTTTTCATAAAGATGTGGTTACCTTTCTTTGAATAAACAAATGGTAAAAATCTAAATTGTAATTTTCTGATTCACTCGCATAAAGCTCATTTATGTAAAGGCTGATTGCTTTGAGAAAAAGCTAATTTGAATTTACAAAAAATAAAAGCCTATTTGCATTGCTGTACTCTTTAACATGAGCATTTACTATGAGGAAGTTGACAGACACTTTTAGGTGGAGGCTGTTGATTGAATTCCTCCTTTTGGATAAAACTGCATTTTGTTAACATGGTGGATGTATGCCGCTCTTTTACACGTTTTTCAGGATCCAAAATATTTCCAAGCAGCTCTTACCTAAGCAAGAAAAGCATGGCTGAATTTATGTCAATCAGCTGACTGGCAGTGTGCAGGAGCAGACTGTGAGAGATGAACAGTCCTACAATACTTTATGCTATTCTAAAAAGAGCATTCAGACTCACTGATGCTTTTTGGTGTCTCCTTTATATTATTTTTTAACATTTGTAGCAACCAGCTGACACAGAGTCACTGATAAAGATAATCAAAATTAGATTTTGGCTCCTATAGCTGGGATAACTGGTGCATTACCTGAAAGATTTAAGGATCCTCACTTGTAGGATTGACTAATTATTAGGAACAGATATATTCACAGATTATACAAAGTTTATTTCAGAACAAAATGCAACGAAACAGTCTGATAAACACTTGTTTTAATTCAGCATTGCATATTTACTGTTCAACATATTGCTTGTTAACCCTTAGAGAAGGGTACCAAAGAACTTTTTTTTTTTTTTTTGGGATAAATTAAAAGATTTTTTGCATCACATCTTCTTGGTACATGAGGTAATTTTTAGAACAAAGAAAAGAACAAACTATCAGCTTAAATATGTCAGACTTTCTGCTCAGGGTGAGCCGACAGGCTGTGGACAAAGCAGGGAGAGATGCAGTTCTGCTATAGACCATCATTCAGGATTACAGGCATTTGCATTATCCCATGCATTTAAAAAAGAAAAGTCATTCCAGATCCAGAACATGCAACAAACACCATTTCTTTGGCTCAGTTTACCGTTGTTAAAAACAAAATAATCCAAACATTATTCCGTGTGTAACAGAGACACGAAGACAAACAATAGAAACAGGAGCAACGTTCTTTGCAGAGATAATGAACAGCCCTGGTGTTGAGCTGACATCTGACATTAAAACATAAAGCTATTAAATATACAAACAAAAGAAAATATTTTTTTAAACAAACCTATTCTGCACACAATTATATCCCATTAAAAATATAGGAAAGATTTAAGGTTAGATAAAAACTACTTGCATTAAATATTAACGTTTCAGTTATGTTGGATAAATTATTTAATATCTCAGATTGCAGCAAATAAATAAAAATAACTCTTAAAAGAAAATCATCTTATTAAGAATTGTCAAAGTTTGGACAAAGTTCTCCGGTCAATGCTGCAGTTTCTGCTAAAAATCTGAAAATAAAACAGCTAAATGTTCTTGTGCAAGACAACACTGAATTATTGGAAAATAGTAAACTTCAATCAATCGCTTAAAAAGTTATCAATCCACATGCAAAGTGTCAGAGTGCATTTTAAATTACTATTTTTAAGATAGTAAAAAAACAAAAAAAAGTAGCTCTTTTAGAAATTCCTAAGGAAGACCTGGATCAAGGAGCAGGTTCGTTATCGAGGTGAGGATGAGGAGAGGATTTTTCTGCTGCGTTTCCATTTGCCTCCTGGTTTCGAATTTACATCTGGAAAAAATGTCACCCAAGACTTGAGTCTGTTAAGATGCTAACGAACCACTAACATCTATCGGAGTGCTGAATGGTAAAGAGTTGAGGATCATGACAAGTTTCTGAATGGAATTAAATGTAGATACATAGATGGGCCGTCTACTTGCTTCCTGCTACGCTAAATTCAGTAAATTCAACTTTTGATTGAAGTTTGAACGCACCATTGCTTATGGAAATATTAAAATAATAAATTGCTGCAAACCTTTAGCAGGTTTGCATCAAAAATACTGACAGCAGCATCTAAATTAGTTTCTTTTATCAAGTTGTAGAAAACCAAGAATAAAAATTCAGCCTATACTAATATTAACTACAGTACCTTTATGCAGGAAACGTTTAAGATTAATATTTAGAAATCTTAAACACATTTTAATAGTACTTTGAATCTTTAATATGTTAATTAAAACAACATCTGCAGATATAAAGACTGTTGTCTATGGCTCGTCAATGCAACATCTGCATTAAGTAAATGATGAATTGGACTCAGCGCTGTCCTAATATTTCACTCCTGAGTTGCCATTGCAGACAGGTTGCACTTGTTTTAGAAGGTCAGCTACTAGAACAATATGTTTAATGTTGTATCTGAGCTAATAATGAACTGCTGGATTAGAAAGTGTTAAGTGTGCAAATTCAGTTAGCCCACCCAACTGAATGTGGTGCATATCATTTATAGGACATCTATATAAGGGTAACCTGAAATAAATAGGGCTACAGTATAAGGATGCTTCAGATGTACAGTGCAAAAGTGCCCTTCTTACAGCTAAAGTGTTTCTATCTTAATTTGGTGTGATTTTTCCCTCCCTTATCCTGTGGATTCAAGCACACGCAGCTAAATAGAAAAATAGAGAATCCGTAAAACAGCAGAGTGGGGATCCTCAGTGGGCGCTGTTGGAGCTCCAGTCATAAGGGAGGAAGCTGACTTTAGTTTTCCCTGTAGAAAGAACATCCTGCAGGCTGGTCTTTTTTGGAGAGTCACCCATATGATCCAGGACCCACTTCAGCAGCTTTAAGAGAAGGTAGAAACATGCTCTACTGTTAGATATGAAGATAACACACGCACATGAGAGAGTATCTGAAAAGTATTCATAGGTACCTTTTCATCAGTCCCTCCAAAGTCAGCTTTATACCACTTAAATATCTGGCTGAGACGCACTTCATTTTTGTCTGAATCAACCATACAGGCATCATCGTTCTCTAGGAAGGCCTCAGCTGCAGTAAGGAGCTGGGTGTCTATATCCTGCGTTGAAAAAGATCAGAAATATTTCCTCATTTTACCACCGGGATCATGATGCAGTATTGTTGCAGGTCTCTTAAAACTACAGGAAACGAAGCAGAGCATCAATCCACGCACCTGGGGTGTGTACGTTTTAATCGGAGGACAGCCCTTTGCACCACAGTTCAGAGCAAAGTGAATGAGGGGCTCAGCATCTGGAAGCGCCACCTAGTGGATGAACAAAGGGGTGACATTTAGTTACACAGATGAATTCCTGTTAGAGCCTGAGTTTATCTGGATATCGACGGTGAGGGATGCTACCTGCAGCCGAGGATCTGTTTTGGAGAAGGGCCTCCGAAGCTGAGCTATTCCTTTTCTGTTTCCTCGAAGGACGCCGTTTTCAATATCTTGTAATGTGAAGACTTCCCCTCCAATGAGGTAACTAACATAGTTGAAAAACTACATAACCAGACAAACGTTAAATCATTTAAATCGGTACCAACTATGAAAAGAGACAGACAAAATATTGAAAATAATTGAACCAATGTAAACATTTATGCATCTAAATAAGAGACTTTGGGATGATAGCTCGTTAAAGCTGATATCTGTGTCTGTCCTAAAATTGAAGACAATTCTAACCTGTGAAAATGGGAAAGGACATTCCTATGATGCGTTAAATTTAGGGTAAATATTCCTTGAACAGCAGAAAAGTTGACCCATTAATGGGAATCTGTCTTTGTTTTTAGGAAGGAATCTATCCTGTTAACACGATTCACTGCCTTTTGAGATATAAACATATACATTCATGTCATGCTTGTAAAGACATTTTTTTGACAGTTTCTCACAAAATTGACAGAAACGATAACATTACTGCTAAAAAAGAAAAAGAAATAGTTCTCAGATCTGCAGACAACTGAATTTAAGCATCGAGATCAAATTGGTGGGTTAAAAAAATAAAAATAAAAAGTGGATCGGAGCATCCCTAAAACTTTATGTATCACATCCGGTACGGTTTGAAAACAGAAATACATTTATAAATTGGATGCAGCCTAAAAAACAATTAGACACAATACTGGTTAAAATAACTACATAATACTTTATAATAATGCCTTAATCTAAAAAATAAAAACGGCTGCTGCATCTTAGATTTAAACACAGAGGCTGTTCAAATGTTTGTCATTAAATAAGGGTTTTTCTTTTTAATATTCTAAACAAAGCATTTTGCTTAATACGTCAAAACATTAAGCAGCTCACAACACAACATTTACTTTTTATTCTACACAAACAAAGTTAGGACATTATTAGATTTTGCCCAAATGGAGAGCGGGAGTCACAATGCTTCAAAACATGACGGTGTAAATGTTGGCATCAAGTAGCAAAAGCAACCGTTAATAAATAGAACATGAAAGCAGAATCTATGTAGGAATGAGAGTTTAGAGGCAAATCTTTGAGGAAATCTATGTTATCCTACTTTGTATCTCTGCCATATGTTGGTAGGAGCCCCCAAGCGCAGGTAGCCATGGATGACTAAGGCGTTGTAGATGTTGATGAAGAAGGCCAGCTTCTCCTCCCGGCTCAGTGACAGCAGCTCCACCCTCTGCAGCTGAATGGCCAGCTCACAGTAACGTTCAAACACTGGATCCACAGACATCCCTTTGTAATCCACAAACTGTAGAAGCAAGAGAAACAGACTGTTTATGGATGAGGGTCCATTCACAGAGTTTAGAAAACAGCCATAGGCACAAACAAACATAAAGCTTTGGATCACTGAGAACATTACCTTGCCATCGGCAGAGAGATGCTCCGAGAACAATTTCAGAATCATCTCGCGTAAAAGCAATGACAGCTCAGCAGCTGGGAGGGAAATGGAACAAGAAAAATCTTTGATCTGTACAATAGATGTCATATTTTATGGTTTAAAGGAAAAAAAAAAAAGAAAAACTGAAACCATAAAAAATATGCTTGTTTAGTTACAAATACCATTTAAAAATCTGTTTAAAATGCTGCTCAGATTAACGGTTAGTTTATTTAACGTCTCACCAGTTCTGCAGTGTTGCATAACAAGAAAGTTCACTTAGCTGGAATTTGTGTCATGCAAGGCTCAGTCTGATGCAAATGAGTTTGTTAGGCAGTAAAAAGACCAACACCATGATTATAATCATTTCTGTACAGAATACCACAGGAGACTTGATTTTAAGCATGCAAGAGTAAATAAACCAAGCAGCGCATTTTACCGTCACCAAACAATGTTAATGAAGATATATTACAATATATTAAAAAAAAGATTAATGCAAAAGTATTATTTTTCAAATGCCAACACATAGCAAAGCAGAACAAATATATAAAACAGAGGTTTGATATGACATATGATATGATCAAATGGACAAATTATTCTGCCAGAGATCTGAGCTAGACTTTGTTTTTCTAGTCAGTTCCAATCATTGATGTACATATGATTCTTTCTACTATGCAGATATTTTTATATCTAGAGGAAACATATTCCGGGACATTACAGCTTTTTTCTAATAGTTTTTTGCACTAATTACACTCTTTTTATATTGTCTGTTGTATTTTTATCTTTAATGGCATCTTGCTTTAGCTCTGCCCTATAAGCTACTGGAGCCAGAATTTCCCTGAAGGAGTAATCCAAAGGGACAAATAAAAATTAGACTAAGTTTAAGTCTCATCATTTCTACTTTAAACCCTGTGATTGGAAAATTTAGATTTCTTTTATTGCATATATTGATTTATGCTATTTACTCACTAAAAAAAAACTTTTTCACTCAGTCTGTTTAAACTGCAAGGCCACACATAGAGTAAGAGGCCAGATTCTTTCACAAGGTTTCATCATAACATGTTACTGTTTAACCAAAGTGTCTGTAATTTGTTTGGACTCTGACTAATTTCCATTATTGTAAGTAAGGAAGACAAACTCTGGCATTAAATAAGGGCTGTATGATGAACTGTTCTTTCTTTGCAAAGATAAAATAAAGTGCCGACTGAGTGAAATCCATCCATATCCATTTATTTAACTGGAGTGAACCCCAACCTCTTTCAAAAAACTTGCAGTGAGTTTTTTTTTCTCTTGCATTAGTCTGTAGAATGTAAAAAACTGAATATAATACCAAATCTAATCAGCACAGCTTCAAAGAAAACAAGAACTCGAAATCAGCCAAAGAAACCCTGATCTGTGCTTTATAATCCAAATCAATGCACCTTTTTTAGCATTTTTAAGTTTTTCAGTTTATGCATATAAGTTTGGGGGTGGGGGAGTTGTTTTACCTTTCCAACTAGTATTGTATTCATTATTTTAAAAAATCTTAGATAACTGAATATCATTCCTTCCTGATGCCCATTTCACAGCAGGTTAAAGTCCCTGCTAACGTGTTATTATCAGATGTATCATTAACCCCTATTTTAACTATTAACCTCCTGATCATCAAAAGCAAAGCACACAAACCCAAATAAACCCAAATTGATTTTATACCAAAGCAAGCAGCACAAGACAAACTCGAGGGTCAGTACTCTGCACCAACACAGAAAGCCTGGATCCTGGTTCCCTCCTGACCTACCCTGTATGGGACAACAGCTGGCGGTCTGTCCTCCATTCAGGGGGGAATGAAAGTCATCTTCCAGCAGCCTGTACAGAGTGTCCAAGGTTTCTTTTCCTTCTCCAAAACACGCATCCTTCTGTCCACTGCCTCGCACACTGACCATGTACTTCTTCTGCAGCAGTGCCTGGCCTGTCTTACAGGCCTCAGCCCTGTCTAGCACAGACATGTCCAAAGTGAACAGCTGACAGACCTCGACTTGACCGAGCGTTTCGGCTCTGTAGTTTTCATGTTTTTTTTTTTTTTGCATCAGAAGGCTCTAATGCCCTACTTACCCATTGCCTTGTCTTTTTGCAGCCAGTCAACCAGCTGAATGCCTGAGAAGCTCTTTTTGTATACAGTCAGTCCCCTCCTCTGCACGCCAACCACACCAGCTTGCTTCAGGTCCTCTACCAAGTCTGCCAACTCATCTCTCTCACATTTTAATTCTGTGAACAGCAACATCCTCAGATGTCTGAAGCTTTCATACAGAATGCAGGCGTCTGTGCGAGCCTGTTTACTAAGAAGAGACTACGCTCAGCAGAAAACGATTCATCCTATTTTAAGTTTTAAAATGTAGAGACAAACAGATATTAAAAAAAATTCCTTAAAAGAGTAATCAGCTAATTTATGAGTGCAGATTTAAACCCTACAAGAAGCTACATTTATGGGTGAGTCTTCATTTACAGTCAAATTTGGTCTTGATATTTTTCAGAAAATCCAACATATTTTTTAAATAATTTGATTTATTCTACTTCATCAAAACATTTAGAAGCATTAACTAATAGTGGCTGTGATGAAATTACATTAATATTAGATATAGTGATGAAATTAGGTGTTTAGCATTCCTTTAAAATCTCCTGACTCATTTAAACCCTTATCTTTGATTTAGAGTTGGCATAAAATATGCTCAAGATACACAACATAAACTTCTATTTTTCTCATTATTTGTACATTCAAAGGAAGTATAGTGTTTGGAAATAACCAATAAACTTACTCTTAGTTTTACTAAAGTTTACATAGATTTTTTTCTCTTTTCGTGGAGCTTTCCCATTCTGTCACATAACAACTTATGTGTTTGGACGCAGCCAAAGGTTAAAAACAAAGTTAAAAGTCATATTTTGTGTTGGGTGGTGGAAATTACGGATGTTCTTCTCATGAAAAATAAATAAAATACTTAATATACCTTTCAAGCACATTATAATTTTCCATTAAAATGAGGAATTTCTTTTTTCATTTATCAATAGATTTACTTTTGAATCAGATTTCATTTCATTCTAAAGAGGGACCGAGACAAAAACCTGGCAATGGCGTAAAGGATGTACAGGAAAAAACACTAAATATAAACCCACGTTTTATATAATATAAACAGTAGCTTATCAATCATTATTATTTTTG